AAATTAATCTGTATTGCCTGTATTCTGTATTTATTTTGAAGGCTATTTTGAGAGCCTCTGTTAAAACCTTAAATGATAGAAGCAGTAATTAATTCCCATTTTAGCTAAATTTAATTTCTTTCCAACCTGAGCAAAGAACATCCTCTGGTTTTATGTGAGAAGATGTACATCTTATCCATTAATTGGAAAAAAATGGAAATTCTAATAACCATGAAGCAGAAGTATAGTCACAGTATGAATTAAATGCTGAGAAATGCCCATGGCTGGGGGTTGGAACTGGATGATCTTTAAGATCCTTTGAAGCCCAAACCATTCTGTGATTATATGAAATTAAGATACAATTTGCTTGTTAAACAAAATAAAAGTTATTCATTAGTAAGTTACTTTGTTCTACTGTGGTAAAACCGAATGGAAATCATCCTTTGTAGAACACAAGTGTTCAAGAAGAAAATAATACCCTCTACTTTACAAATTGCTCTACAAAAAAGATCTCCTTTTCCACACCACAAGTTAATATGCAATTATGACATATGTTTTCCTTCAATTTACATAAATATTTCCACTGAGTGGTAAAAGGAGCTTCTGTCATGCAATGGATTTCTGTCTCTGACAAAAAGCAGTGCAGACCCATCCATGGTACCAAGCTTCTTCACTAACATACTCCTGTATTTGCAAACAAATACCTTTGGGAACAGTGTATTAGGACATCTGTCTGACAATCCTTCTCTGCTAGTTTCTTTTGGTCTTTTGGCCTAATTTAAGAGTCTTTATCTTCCTATTTTTTTTTCATTAAAAAAATAGAGCGATAGGACTTATTTGTGATTTTCCCCTATAGCTGAAAGGGGTAAAAATCAACAAAACACTTTATGGTATAGAAGTGATTAAAGGAAACTGTCTTTTTAAATATGCACACTTGAACATAATATAGATTACATAGTACCTACAATTTAAAAGTGGCATAATTATGAGAAAGCAATACTAAAACTGTAGCAGTAGTCATTAGCTAAAAGTAAATCAGACTTTTTCAGAAGGCTCCCAATTTCTTGGGAGTATTTAGAACTAGACCCAACCCTGCATGACAGATTTACTGCTTTTGTGTTGATGAGAAACAAATGAAGCCCTCCCAGAAAATTCCCACAGATAAAAACACACATCTGAACACAGGCTGAGTGAGTTAATATGACAGGGAAATAACTTTTTGAATCAGAGTATACCTTCCTTATTATTAGTAATAATACTAATGATTAGTAATGAGAGAAATGCTTTCATTTCTACTATTTCAAAGTGAAAAATTGTGTTTCAAATTGTGTTTAAAAAATTTTATGTTTCAAAACTTGCAAACAAATTGAGTTTGGAGATCTTCCCAGAGACCTTGTTACTTTTTCCATCTACAAAACAGATGTGCTCAAAGTACATGCAAACATTTACAGACCCAGGTTCTTCATTAGACAAAGAAGAGCAAATTGTAGTCAATTACTATCTCAGGAATGTAATATTCACTGCTTCCACTTCTAACAGTCAATCACAAACTGAGTCAAAGTCATCTTCTTTTGGGTCTTTGGATTTTTAATTAATATAAAATAATTTTGTTGATTAGTAAAGTTAAGAAAAAATAATTCCAAATTAAATGAGATTATCTTTTCACTCTAATATGCATTAATTTTTTTTCTGGACTAGATGGCCACATTTCTTTCTTCTTAAAACTAACAACACACTGGAACTTGATGACAGTCACCACTTTAAACGTTGCCTTTATGTTCTGAACAACAGGATTCTACCCAAAGGCTGTCTGAGAACATGCACTCATTTACATTCCATATTAATTCATCCTCTTTGGTAAAACAAAAGGGAAAATGTGGGAAACTCAGCATTTACAGGTGATCGAGATTTGGGGGTTTTTTAGGGCATTGTTGAACTTGGGCAGAGTAAATGCTTGATACTCTGAGGAAATGTTGTTCTCAGTTCAGCTTGTATTCCACAACAGAAAATTTTCCTTTAGAACTTATTGTTGGAGTGATTCAGTAGTTTGGCACTGGTTGCAGAGTTTTTGATTTTAACTACTGTTTGATTTTCCATGAAAGAATGTCTGGTGTTTCTAATGTCTCTAAGGCAGATAAATACCCATATTCCATAAAAATGCCGTGTCACATTACCCAAACCTGTGAGCAGCATCACAAGCACGACTGACAACTGACACATACACACACCAGAACTGATTTCAAGACCTTCAATGATCAGGCAAAGCAGTTTCCTGATCCAGTTTGGTGCACAAACCTTTCCACTGCACCAAGGAGAAGAGCACCAAGGTGGGAATAAGCCAGGTGGGAGCTTCTGAACTTGGCGTTCCCACAATGAAGAATTTGTATTAAGTTGTAGCCTGACAGAGAAGAAAGTTAAGTGATGCTCCAGAGACAACAGAAACTGTCTGCAAGAGTGAAAAACCCTTCATGTTCACCCTTCAGGTGATGTTTTGCCTCTCTAGTCATTCCAGGTCACCACATCCTCGCATCCACAAAAGCCGTGATGAGCCTGACAATCCCATGGATGTTTGGAACACGTACACTTGACTTTATGGCTCTTTTTGTACACAAGCTCTCAATATTCCAAGTAATGACCCGCCCTGCAATATTACTGTGTTGCTAACAAACATCAGGGACTGAGGACTTTGACTGCAAAGGAAACTGTATTTTGATGCAGTTTTTAAGTCAGCTGCCAAAAACATGCTAAAAACTATTAACAAACAAAAGTTGATTCACGCATGATGATAAAAAAAATATGTTTAATATATTTATATATAGATACTGAAGAATCAAACTGAACTACAAAAAGCTGAAGGGCAGATTTTGTATACTCAGCTGGTTAAATGGTGTAGTCCAGCCTGAGGGGAGCCAAAATTTAGCTAAAACCAAAATATGTGACCACGCCACACATGGACGGGTTGTGAGCACGAAAGGAATATGTCATGTTATTAAAATGTGATGGGCAGGCTCCAAGGCAGCTTTGTGCAGTTGATGTTAGATTCATCACATTATGTAAACCACATTTATAAACAGGGCTAGAAAATGAAAATTTAGTTTGCTTTAGAATAACAAATGTATACAAGACTGGCTTAAAAGAGAGATTGCAATGGAAGCGTGAGCCACACATGGCAGTGCATGTTTGCTCTCTCAGACATATCAAATAATACAAAATACAGTAATTTTCAAGAAAGAAATCAAAGGTAGCAGTTTATATCACTGATAATTTCAAATATATAACACCATTCAAATTCTTTTTCATCTGCATATTTCACCATAGTGAGACAGTATTCTGAACCACACATGTGTTGGATATACTTCTATTATTTGCTCAAAAATCTATCACCATTACTCATAAACATTACATAAGTATTTTAAGGCAAGACAGAATTCTAATTTCCAACCAATTGTCTCATTGGTGGAAACAGATCACTGAAAAGTTCTGAGCAAACAGTCTGACCTTATATAACCTATTAGTTATTTAAGCACATAATGTTTCTTTGGAAAATATACCAACATTTGCTTACAAAGAAAATACCCTCAGACTACTATCTGAGACTCTCTTCATGAAGCCCCCAACATAATGCATTAAAAACCTGAGACATTGAAAATGTGCTGCAAATGTTTAAAAGAACAGGCTCATAAAGTGGACTGAGAGCCACTTGTTAAGTCTGAAGTACTGCTGTCCAGAGTAACATGTAAAGTTAAGAATTTAACATTCAAGAGACCTGAAAAGGTGATTTCTGGGTATTTTATCCTAGATTGCAATTATATTCACATCAAAATACTGGATCCATGGCATGAGATATTAAACAATTGCATTACAAGAACAGCATGGGAGCTATATTTACTTCTGCCCAACAGATACGATATAATGGACAAAACTAATGGATAATCCACTTTAAGGTGAGATTGTTCTATTTTTTCCAGATACTACCACTTTGTGTGTCACCTTCATTATGTAATTGGCTATGACAAACTTTATACACATAGGAATGTGTTCCTACCACGGGAATCAACTAAAAAGAGAAAATAATAACAAAAACCCTGAGTATTCATCCAAAATTGAGACGTTACTAAACCTCAAGAATAGTTTGCTGCAAAACCAGAGTGAGCTGAAACTGCTGATTCAACATTTTGCTACTGAACAAAGTGAAAAAAGAAACCAGTACATTTATATCACAACCCTCAGGCCCTGCTCTCTTCTATTAAACAGCCAAGAAAGTGTTGGAGGGCTTTTTAAAACAGCAATTTAATACTAATTTCCTCAAGTAAACCCATCCAAACCAAGCTATTCAAAATACAGGGGAGTGTTTGCTTAGGAAGCTTTGGTTTCTACAAGCAAGCAAGAGAAAGCAGATATATGCAATTTGAGATTTCAAAAAAGTTTAAGATCATCCTTTAGATTTTTCTGTGGGAATGCGATTGCTTTTGAAATTGTAATTTTATTCCTTGGGAAAAGTGATAGGGAGACTCTTTATCATCATCCATCTGTGCTACTGGAACTGGAACACATCAAAAGCAATGCTGCAGGTAACACAAGTCTTGGTTGATATCATAGCACTCAAGTTTTAATTTTTGGCATAGAATCCTTTTCTTCCTTAAGAAAGTAACAGTAGACAAAATAACTATTATGCAACTTGTACAGGCATTTTGCAAACAGCACGTTACATGAATAATAAAAAAAAATAAAAAATCCCAAGCAACATTTTCAGACTTTTTTTTCCAAAGCCCGACTTCTAACATAGAAAGGAGCTAATTAAAGAAACAGATGAAGTCAGATGTGCACGGAACTGGGTATAATGTATTGTAAAATTAAAGACAAAGTGCTTCCCTGACTATGAAACTTGCTTTAGGTACACTCCATTAATTAAACAATTTTGAAGTTTACATAAACAGAGGCCTATGAAAAGTAAACAAAGAATAACCCAGTTTCTAAATATTGTGATGTGCTCATCAGTACAAACTTTGTAACAGGGAACATTCTCAAAGATTTGGTTTTAAACCCACAGCTTCAATCCCAGAATACTGCAAATATTGTCTCTGTTTTAATAAATAGATCTCCTTTATTTCCCACACACATGAGACAGAAATTAGATATACTGATTAAAAATCTGATCTACAGTCTACATTCTTGAACCATGGTCCCCAGACAGATTGCTGCCTCCTGAAAGCAGAGCTACAATTTATACATAGCTACACAATAAAGTCCTAATTTTCTAACTTTAGAAAGGTTTGGCAGCTTGCAGGTCACTGCAGGCTACTGGTTTAGTCTGCCACTGGCTGAAGTTTTATAGCTTTATTCAAGTCACACATTTAAAAGAATAATGGCTAGTGAAATCATAAATAAGTGGGATTCCACAGCAAGAATGACCTGAAATGGACCTCACTGTACTTCCAATGGCCTGATGTCAACTATTATTGAACTACAGGTTTTATGAAGTCTTCCACTAGACGTCTAGAGTTAAGCCAGAAGTTTTGGCTCTAATACAGGCAGTGATGAAAAACATATGAGTGGTAACAAGTCGCCTTAATATCATTCTTCAGTACAAAGATGGGCTAATCTGAAGCAGCACTTTACTCTGGTATCACCCACGGTGCCAGAAGGATCAAGAAGCTTGGAAGTGGATTTTTCTTTATATATGCTTTTCATTTCATAGAATTCACTCTAACTTGCTTTTTCCTTATTTTTTTGTAATATGAAATAACTGGACATAAGGATCTTAGGTGGATTATCCCAGTGCTTCCAGAAGAACTTCCAAACCTGCAAGGTATGTCCAGTTTGAATACCTAATCTATATAAATAGCAGTAAAGAGTTGAGGTTGTCAGTCACTATGTGTAGATTAATAATATCAGATAATTTAGAATTAGAAATGCCACTATTTTAAATTGAACATTTGAAAATTTACTTGTGGCTGAAATACTTCTGTATTTACTACATGTGAGCTGAAAAACAAATAGAGCTATGGTGAATTATTTAACTATCAAAGACTTGTCAGAAAAATATTACAACTGACCATAACACTAATTCTCAGTTATAACCATCTATTAAAATCTACTCAACTATAACAGCATCTCTTACAATAACAACTCGGTGTTAACTTTCTATAATTTGGTATTCAATTTGGTGAGATTTTTTAAGTACATATCAGCAAAGTAATTAAAAACAAGCCAGGAAAGAATGAACTGTAGATGAACTACAACCTAAAAATGCTCATAGATCATTCAGTAACAAGAGTCAAGCAGCTCTACATAAAAAGTAAATAGTCTGTAAACACAACTTATTTTGTAAACATCCTCTTAATTATTACTGCTCAACTTCAATATTGGACTATTTCTGACAACAAACATTTCTACAGTAATCTTACTAACAAAAAACTTTCCTCCTGTTTTTCTTCAGCAATTTAAGTAAATTAATAGAGCATATAAAGAGTTAAACATAAACTCTTTTTATTTCTGGAATGGGACAATGACTAATAGAACCAGAACTATTTTTAAATATAGATTTCAAAACAGTTAAGGTCTTGCCTTTCTTTGGACAAAATCTGTGCACAGAGCAATGACTTATGTTATTAATGAACACAGGGACTTTTCTTTGCCTCTGCAAAGACCACCACCGGGTCATTTAAACATTTCCTTCTCAGAGACAATGCCATGGGAAATTTGTCTCTGTGCACCAGTATCAGAAGTGATTTCTAAATATAATGTAGAGTATTTTTAAGTCTTAAAAACTTTATGTATTAACTCCTTCAGTACCATAACTGATAAGACAACAAAGTCCACATTGCTGAACTGGTTTGCAGCTGCCAAGCAATTCAGAGTTATTTGTTGTTGAATCTCTTTATGCACTCATCCCACAGTAAAAACACAGCTTTTGTTCTCACTGAAAGGGGTTTTCTTCCCATAACTCATGCTTAGAATTTGCACATCACAGAAATATGGGCATTTTCCGTATAAAATCGAAAGGGTTTTAATCATATTATACTGCGACATCACCTGTATTTAATGATTTATAAATTGTAACTAATAGCATAAAAAGTGCCTGGATGCCATGTGTTGTTTGGCATTATGAGTTTGGGTACAGATGCCCACATTAGTGAGGATAAGTGTGTCCCAAACAACCAGTGCAGTCATTTTTGGACAGTTACACCCCTCAGGAAAACACCTTGGACATCTCTGCACGTGAAGTGCACTCTCCACATTCAGCCACCTCACCTCGGGGTGGCTCAGGTTCCAGGAAGAAGGTGCTCCTCAAAAACCTCTTGTGCTGAAGGATAACAAGGACTGATATAAAGAAAGTACAATGGAACTTGGAATCACCACACTCTTTTGTCAACCTCATTCTCAATGTTCTCGTCTGTTAAAACAAGAATGGACAAAGCCAGGCTTTGTCCAAGTGACAACCAGCTGCTCGGGGGGGATTATTTAACAGAGCATTTAAGCCTGCCTAACGGCTTGAATATGTCAGGAATGCTCTTCCATGCTCTTCCTTCCTTCTCTTTCCATTTAAAGTTCCAGCCCTGCCAACCAGGCTGTTCCCATCCATTCTTTTGTGCTGGTTCTGGTCCTCCAAACTGACTCCGTTTCTTCACTTGTAAAGAATAGGATGAGGTTTTTTGTTGCCCACATTAGTTTTGTACTGGTGTAGTGAGTTCAACCAGCTCAGTAAACAGCCTGAGGGAAAGAAGAGCTGGCACCAAAGAGCACCTGGGAGCACAGTCAGGCTCAAGAGGCAGCAAGGGACCATTAGCACAGCTGTGCCTATACCTTCTGAAACAGTATTTCATAAAATCTTCATGAAAGTCATTTCAGAAAGATCACTAGGATCTCGGATTTTAGGCTTTCTTTTAATTCTCTTATTCTTGAAATTTGAGCAAGCAGAAACTTTATGTAAGTTCTTTGAGAAGAGCTGCAGAGTCAGAGCATTTTTACAGAGTCATACCAGTATGTATTTACTGGGAAACTCAAAACCTCAGGCAGGAAAGAACCATCACCTTAATGATCATTCCTAACTACAAAGCCAATAACGATTTCCTAAGGGCAAAATGGGAAGATGAAACTTTTCTTTAAAATGGAAAAAATCACAATTCTTTACATAAAGGGATTTGTTCTCAAGAGATTTAACTCACAGAATCAATATGTCATCAGGGACACATTTCAACACTACTTTTCTAGAACTTTGTGAGCAACACATGTTTTTCAAGAGTTCAAATTGGCCACTACTCCAGTCACAGCCTCCATCTTTTAATACTTTGAAATCCTAATTTTTTGGCTACATGAAAGGAAATATGCAATCCATTTGCTACAGATGCAAAGTGTGGGAACAGATTTTTAAGCTGTTTCATAAGAGAACTTCCTAGAACCAGATCCAAAAAATCTTTTAGGAACATACATGCAAGTATAACTTTTAGATCCAGTAAAACTGGAAAAAAACCAGTATTTCCAGTAAAACTTGGAAAGTCCACGTCCCAAGACATCATCACACTTGATATCCTACATATGGAAATGGATGGTCTCATCACAGGGCACCGTGTCACTTAGGACCTAAACTGCCAGGGAAGAACAGAGAGCCTGAGAGCCCATGTGTGACAGCCCAGCCATTAAAGCACTGTCCAAGAACAAGGAGAACTTAGAAGTCTGAAAGGCTTCCAATCCTCATCTCCTAATTGATGGCATGACTAAAGTAGTGAAGATTTTGGCCTTTTTCTGAAGCTGAACTAGAAAACTGAAAAGGCCAAGTATTCCAAAGGTGCACAGCCAGAGATGATAACAATTCTCTCCAAAAAAACAGAGGTTCCACACCTTCTTCCCAGCACTGTTTATATTCAAAGAGACTTTCAAGGACAGACAGTGTAAAGGATTGCAAGAACAACCACAAAATTCTTTCTAGGAGCATTGCAAGAGAAGATTATTTTGAACACAAAGGAAAACATATGGAAAAAATATGAACATATGAAGATTTTTTCAAGAGATTGCTATGTCAGTAAAAGTACATGTCCTACACCCAAACGGGCATGCAACTGAAATATTACAGGAAATATTAAATTTAGCTATATGTTGTTTACCTACAAGATACAATGTACTTTGTGATTCTGGTTTCAGGCATATATGTGGGGGAAAGAAGTCTCTGCATTCTTTTTATGTTATCTGAACACTGTTAGCTTTCTTCTTTTTAAACTCCCTGAAACAGACACAGATAGAGGAGCAGCAAGGGTTGCAGGGTATTTGCATTTAATATTGTTATGAACCCCTCCAATAATCATCAGAATGGCTTGTACCACAGAAAAAAGTAGTACAAACAAAATCTCATTTTGAATAAGCCAAATCAAACCCCAGTACAAACCAGAGCACTCCTTTTCCTGCAGTGGAGGACCAATGACAAAATACCTACATAAAAGCATTTTTCATCTCCAAACAGATCAGCAAACATTTAATTAGGTGATCAAACAAGAATTGAGACCCATTTAATGTTTCCTTAAACAGGCGTATGATAGTCTAAATAGAAACATTTTTATAAACAGGACATGCACAATAAAATTTCCTGCAGCCCCTCTTGGTTTGTGGAGTACATTTTTTTTCCAAATGATTTCTGGAACTGGGCTTTGGAGGGAAACAATGTCGAGCTGAGGGCTGAATCCACACCATTTTCCCAGGGTTTGTTGCACTCTGTGGCAATTCTTACTATCTTCATTCTCCTCTGCACCTAGTTTTGTAGGAGCAAGGAAAAGAAACAAACCACCAAACAGAAAAGTCCCAACCTATGCTTATTGAAAAATTCACACACAAAACGACCAGATTTCAGCTTTTCTTCTGGATGTAATTTAAGTCACTGATTTCCACTGACATGGATTTCTAACATGCAAGTCCTTCTCAGAGAAAAGAGTCCCCCTCAAACAGAAGTCAAGAGAGAATTTGATTTGTTCAGCCTGGAAAAAAGAAGTTTTGGAGTGACCAAATTGTGGCCTTCCAGTGCCTGAAGGAGCCAACAAGAAAGACAGAGAGGGACTTCTTACAAGAGCCTGGAGTGACAGGACAGGCCAGGGGGGGAATGGCTTCACACTGGCAGGGAATAAGTTCAGATGGGATTTTGGGAAGGAATTGCTCCCTGGGAGGGTGGGGAGCCCTGGCACAGGGTGCCCAGAGCAGCTGTGGCTGCCCCTGGATCCCTGGCAGTGCCCAAGGCCAGGCTGGACACTGGGGCTGGGAGCAGCCTGGGACAGTGGGAGGTGTCCCTGCCATCTTTAAGGTCCCTTCCAACCCAAAGTGTTCTGGGATTCTACAATTCTATGACATGTGTTTGCATGCAGAGGTGAACTTCTATAAATGGCAATAATAAACAAATGACTGGAACATGGGAAAAGCTGTGTCAGGACTGAAAACTTCAGATTAGACTAGGAAGAGTTTAATTAAAGTGTTTAGGGAGTAGAATACTGAATGTTTAGGAAGTATCCTGCTGAGTGCATTTTATGCACTGCTAATCAAGTCCTTCTCAATTTCATAAGCAATGCACATATGCCAATGTATCCCACTAAAAATATTTTTTCATTGAGAACAAATAAAATAAATCATATTTCAAGTTCTGGTAAAGTTTACTACAAAAATTCCACGTCAAAGTTTGAAGCAAATGATGATATTATTTGTAAACTAAACTAAAATACTTTGATATTACATTAATGGTTAATGAATTTTAAGTTAATACTGTGTGCAGTTTATTAAGATTTAAAAGATTTTTTTTTATATTCTTCATATACTAATTAAACCTCAATACTCACAACAGATTATTTTTCAGGACCAGACAGTGTGGCAGTGAGTGAAGTAAACAGTTTAATAGCTTCATTTGCTGTTCCCTATTCACTGATTCTGGTGTTTGTTCTTTTGTTCACTATCCAAGATTGGTTATCCTGATTAAGAAGATATGAAAGAATACACACTCCTTCTCTTCTTGGCTTTGTGCTCTGCCAAATCCCTCACTGGTCCTTCATATTTTACACTCAAGAATATGATGCTTCAAGATATGGAAGACGATGATGATGATGACGATGATGACAATTCTCTGTTTCCAACCACTGAACCCATTCTACCACTAATTCCTTTTGATCTGTTCCCAACATGCCCCTTTGGATGCCAGTGCTATGTGAGAGTTGTCCATTGCTCTGACCTAGGTAAGAATGAATTTGTGTGTCTGTTCTCCACTGGATTCTCCTTTGGAGAATTTGTCTTTTAAAGGATGAATTATTATGCGGGCACATAAATGGGATGCAAAGTATTCCCTCAGCTTAACTTCCACCAAAGTGAGCATCCCTGCTAACAGTTTAGCCAAAGGCAAATGTGCTCCTGTCAGTGCTGCAGGCACATCCCAGTCCCTAGAATTGAATTCCTTACTAATTGTGCCAATTTGAATCAGTGCTCACTGAAATTTTCCTATGATTCAAGGCAATCAAAGGACTGTGCTCCCACCACTAGCACAGTGACAATGGCATTTGTTCTCATCACAGCCCTGCCTCCTTCCTAAACTTCATCCTGGACTCCTTGTGTCTCAGAAACATTGTCCATACATAAACTGCTGGGGTTTTTAAAATGTGTTATTATTAAGGAATCAAAAACCTTTGGTGACAGCAACAAACTGTGGTTAATGTATCTGATATACAGATTTCAAACCACTTTACATGAGTTCATACAGAGAAAAATCCCACATTAACAGACTGCATCTTTAGATAACTGCAATCTATTCATTACAAAATAACTTAATAAATTGGACAACATTTAGCTTTTCATGCATCAGCATTTCACTCAAAAGAAAGTTACTGTACCTGGTGAGTCTTTGCTGATTCAGCATCTCAGATGGCCTGAATTGCAGTGAGTTTGTAACTGAACAGCAAACTTGTACTGATTTATGTTAATGATCTACAGTACTGGTACTGATTTATGTTAATGATCTACAGTACTGGTACTGAAGTGCTGGCACTGGGACCCTCCTTTGCCCACACCAAGGTTTCTCAGCCCCAGCATGACTTGAATGAACCCTCAGCAGCCACCCCAGTGCCATGGACAGGGCAGAGCAGAGGCAGAAAGGAGCACTGAGCAGAGACCCCTGAATCCACAGCCCTGCTCCTCAACAGGGGACCACCACCCTGCATTCCTGAGGGATCCTTTCTCCAGGACTAAACAGTTGCCTTGTAGGGCAACCTGTGCTCTGAGGATTATTTCACAGATGCAAAGAGTCCACAATGAGCAGTCCCCATTAAGCTTTCATAATCAAGAGCAGAAGCAGTTCCTCCTAAAACTATGCACACATTTCTGGTACATTCTTACATCATTAGTTTTTCCCACTATCAAAAATTCCTTTCTACCCTTTGCTTTACAGCTGTTCATATTTTCTTTCCCACTATCTTCATCAACAATCTTATTGTGTTTTGATGTTTGGCAGTTAATTTCTTTGGACTTCTATGCAGCACATAATGTTTCTGCTTATGTCACACAAAACAGGTTTGACATCAATTCCTCGCAACATCCCACCAGACACTCGTATGATCGACCTTCAAAACAATAAAATCAAAGAGGTCAAGGAAAACGATCTCCGAGGACTCACATCACTTTATGTAAGCTTGCTATTTCCCAAGTTTGAAATCTTAGTTAGCAATCTGAAATATTTAGATACTTTAAAAATACAAGTGGTATTTCCTTCTCCAATAATATGGATAAAAATAGTCTAATGCCTGCATATTTGAGTGCTCCCACATAGTAAGAAGCAAATACCTTTGAGATGTAAGAACTACTTTCTACAACATCCAGAAAACGTTCCATATACTTCTAACAAAAAAGATTCTCATGATTTTTCAGTTCTTAGCATGTACAGAAACATTCCCTATATTTTAAAGGCTGCAAGGCAAGTGGTCCTTTTTATCTGCTTAGCTGGAAAATAGCAGAAAGAATTTAACCTCACAGGAGAACTGCAATGATATTTTCTGAGAACATACAGCTAACACATGCAGCACTGAAGCCAATCCTACAAATCCAACTGACCTGAACAGAAAACAGAGAAACATTAAATTACTGGAAAAGTCTGGGGCTTTACTCCTAATTTGTTGCCATGCTCAATTATGCATGTAGAGACAGGCTTTGAAACAAATATCACTGGTAACTGATAAATCTAGATGTTTACAGTACACAGTAATCCCTTTTTATGATGAAAGGAAATGAGAGTCTCAGAGGACGGGAAGTAGATTAAATCTACTTTAGAATATTTGTTTCTATTGGATGTCACCCTAGATCCAGTATCCAGATCTAGTTCCACTAACAAATAGTGACAATTAAAAAATTTTCTCTCTAAAACCCAAATCTGTTCCATAACTTATAGCAAATTAATTACATTCTATTCTCCATCAGAAAGACACAAAACACACAATAAACAAACATAAGGACCATTCTTAACACATCAGGAAGAAGCTCTTCCCTGAGAGCATGGGCAGGCCCTGGCACAGGGTGCCCAGAGAAGCTGGGGCTGCCCCTGGATCCCTGGCAGTGCCCAAGGCCAGGTTGGACAGGGCTGGGAGCAGCCTGGGATAGTGGAAGGTGTCCCTGCCCATGGCAGGGGGTGGCACTGGATGGTCTTTAAGGTCCCTTCCAACCCAAAATCATTCTGTGATTCTATAAAACAAATCCTTTCAGTCATACGTGGCTTCTGAGCACGATCTCAAAATTTACCAGATCAAAGTTTTTATGAATGAGCTTGTTAATTATTATGGTCTAAGACAGGGCAGCAAAAACAGGAACTATATAAATTCAGAGTTGGCAACAAAGCATTTCCTATTCTCTTGTCTCATGTCTGGATGCAGAATGGTCTTAGCAGCAAGCAAAGGGTAAATGCACAAACTGTGGTTTATATTGTGTGTAAAAGATCTAAGAGTCGCTTATCTCCAGTGACTGAGAAAGCCACTGGAATCCATCAGCAATCACCACATTACAGACCAGAGTCACCACTTAATTACGTGATAGCTGAGGACACTGAGCTGCTTTGCTTTTTCTCCTCAGTTCATTTGTGGCAAGGCTGAACAACATTTTCACTGAGAGCAAAGTTTACTTTGTACAACTTGGCTCAGTCCTGGAGTCTGCTTAGCAAAGGCACAGATGGCAACTTAGATTAGGAAGGAGCATTTCCTGTTTATTTCCTTGAGCTAACCTCATTTTTTCTGGGAAAAAAATAATTCTTGTTTGCTCTACTTTTTTCCCCCGCACAATTCCTGAGAGAAGATGACTTTGAGAAATAAAAAAGTAACAGAATCGAATAGTTTAAGTATGTAAATGCAGAGATGTGATTTGACATGCAAAATCATTTCATAGTGTGTGTTTTGTTGTCTGTAATAACTCATTACAAGTTCTCTGATAACACATAGCAATGAGGAAAAAGCTGTCTCAAATGACTTGTATACTGTACAGAAGAGAGAGACTGAAATTCACAGGAGCTGGAAATGACAAATAAAACAAATTAATGTGTCATATACAGATACTAATATCTAAGAAACTCAGATTAAAAACTTCACTTGTATTGTGCAGCATTATGTTGAAATAAAAGATGAGATTCTGAGTTTTGAGAATTTGTCTGCATTAAGGAGCAATAGCAATGAAATATATAACCCCATACAATGCCACAAAATATCTGAATACAAATCTATTGTTTTGCCAATTCTCATGATCCATTGGTACCTTGTCAGCTCTACCTTCTGATTAATGCTCCAGCTTTCATGTTCTTTGTTTTTTACAATCAACTGAAATGCCCAAAGCATCTACAAAGTGCTGAAGTTTGGTAGGATGGAAAAAGAAAATATTTTAAATACTTAATTGCTGAATTACATATCAAATCCATGACTTCAAATTCTTAGTCATAACAGTTTTGGATAAAGAAAGCTCTCTATTGCTCTTTCCACCTCTCACAGGCCCTGGCTTTGAACAACAATAAAATATACAAGATCCATCCCAAAGCCTTTGAATCAACAAAGAGGCTACGACGACTTTATTTGTCTCACAACCAACTGACAGAGATTCCAACAAATCTACCCAGAACTCTGGCAGAACTCAGAATTCATGCTAATAAGGTTAAAAAAATCCCCAAGGATGTATTTAAAGGAATGAAGTCTCTACATGTTTTAGGTAAGTCTAATTAAGTAGAACAGAAATTGTCTTTACCAAAAATGGAACATATTAGACATAATTTCCATTCAAACATTTCCCCAAGGCACAATTTCCTCTCAAAGAGATATCCATGCTGTGGGAATACCCTCCACAATTTAGTTTCTATGTGAAGTTGCTACAAAGGTCAAGTTGTGGGTAATCCTGCAAGCCAAGTAACACAGCCTTAATTCACTGAGAGCTGTGACACTTCAGAATAATCAGGGCTAAACATTGATGAGTGCTTGAAATATCAGAAATCATACATAAATTTAAATCAGCTCTTTATAACTTAGTCTAACCTATACAAAATTCCTATGCCATAAATGCTTTTTGTTTTTTTTCCCCTGGGCAGAAATGAGTGCAAATCCTCTTAACAATGATGGAATAGAGCCAGGGGCTTTTGAAGGGGTAAATATCTACCACATACGAATTGCAGAGGCAAAGTTAACTTCAATTCCTAAAGGTAGGTATGCTTTCCCTTTTCTAATTTACTTATACCAGAATACTCCTTAATAAAATGCTTTAACATCTGAAAGATTATTAAATTCATCAATTGTTTTGTATTCTCATTACTACCAAACCACCTCCTACCTTTACTTTTTGAACTCAGTATCCAATTCCTCATCCCAGGAGAGTTCATGCACAAACAGTGCACACAGGCTCCCTCTCCCACCTTCTCCCTGTCAGCTCACCCACTCCTCTCACAGAACAGCCAGACCTTTGTCTCAGGAGGAACAATACAAAAAACCTCATAATTTGATGTCATTTCACATCTTTCACACATCAGCCTCTCAAAAATCCTCACAGAGAAAGGATAAACTTCCCAATATTTGATGAGGGTCATAAGGGATGCGGATTTCCCACTTCCTTTATGGATTTAAAATGCAACTCCAAAGTTTCTAAACTTAATTTTTAATATTTCAAGTCACATTGCACCTCAATACAATGTTCAATGTAGTTTTGCTAAGTAAAGCTTAATTTTTAAATATTTAATTAAATTCACCATAAATACTACAAAATCAAAACACTTTTTCATATTAAAAAATCCCAACCTTGTAACTTGGAGGTAAAAATAAATTAAAACACTAATTTGACAAATCACTGACCTCCACACACACAAATGTAGCATAAAAGAGCTCAGTACAACAGTCCACCTGCTTTTGCTGCAGGTCAGTGTGGTATTGAACTCATTCAAATCATGAATTCTCATGATTTCCAACTGCTCAAAACTACCAGCTAAGAGAAAAAGGAAGGAAAAAAAGCAAAACACTGTATTCTGTGCTTTAACCCACAGGGAAACGAAATGTCGGCCCCTGTATTTATTTCTGATCATTCAGATAAAGAACTTGTTTCTTATTAATCTCTTCCTGTATGCATATATATATATATATATGTATATGTGTACATATAGATATACAGAAGGATCCTTGTAGAAGTGAACACTAAAAAAAGTCCCAACAATAATCAAAACCAACTCACCCCAATTGTTCAGATAAATTTAAGGTTAGAAAGCCTCTGTCTGCCTATGGTAATACTTCCTAACACAAAAAAACCCAAACAAACTCAAAAGAATCTAGCATCAGCTCCTGTCATTTAGCACAAAAAAACCCCAATATAAAATTAATCCAGTAATAATAATAATCTCCTATAAAGACACACAGCATGAGGTCCAAAACATGGTGTCAGATACATAAACAAACCAAACCAATCAGGATTTCATGGTGAACTCATTCACCACAAATAGAAATTGAGTTTGTAGATGCTTCTCTCTGCAAATGCTACAATGGCACAAAGGTTTAAAAAAAATGCAGCTTATAAAAGGTACTAAAAACGTGCAGTGGACAGGTGGGTGGCCTTCCCTCTGGATAATTGTCACTCAGGCACCCAGAACTGAGAGCTGGAATGCAAACTGGAACAAAGCCCAAGCAAACAAACTTTATTGCAAGTGGAATAAAGGCAGGTTGGGAAGCAGCCACATCCCTTCAATCCCAGGGCAATGAGAGCAGCAGGAATTGCTTAGGCTCGGCTGCCATCTAGACAGAGGCTGGGAAAACCGAGCTCAGCAGCAGCAAACAAATTCTGGCTGGGACTGAGCTTTCCTTGCCCTCACCAAGAGGATGTTGTGGAAACATTCGCCACCTCCCGGTCCATTCGCTGGCAGTCTGGATTTGGAATTTTTGGAAGTGCAAGAGAAAACATTCTGGCATGGGAAGGAGCTATCAAATGCCATAATTTTGCTTAGAGTACTCCAAAAGTTTTTCTCCCAGTCACATCTTAGCAGCTGTGACAGTACAACTGCTACATCATCTAGAAAAAAATTACAGCTTTTCAAAAAACTGTCTATGGTTCCACAGGCTTTGACTACAGACTCTATAAATGCACAAAACACAGGATTAACATCTTTGACAAAGTAACCATGAGAGTTGTTATAAAGGAAGCCAGAGAAATTACCAAATTTTGGAACTCTTATATCTCTTAATTAGCATGTACTTCCACAGCTTAAGTTTTTTTTATAGTCATTATTTTTAAACCAAATTATATTGGTGATTTTCTTCATTAACATGCTTATATGTAAAACCAATTTCTTTGATGCAGACAACCTCCCCAAGATTCTTCACCCAATTCTAAACACAAAGAAAAGAAGATTTTTTGGAACATAATAAATGTTAAAAAAAAAAAAATTGACTTGTTTTTTTCACACTGTGCATTTTTTTCATCAGATTTGCCCTCCAGTCTTCTGGAGCTTCACTTAGATGACAATAAGATCACAGGAATCGAACTTGAGGATTTTAACCGTTACAAAGACCTTCAAAGGTAAAATTCCCAAGCTGAATCCCTTTATTTGTTAAAATGTCATGCCCAGCAAGATCTTTTATTTAATACTTCTCTTTTTAATGAGAGAAAAGAGAATAAAAATTATAGGTGCTTTAGTAAGAATTGCTCTAAATAAGATCAAATTTTAAATCCCAAACACACACCGAAACCTCCACATTAGTCTTGGTATTGCATATTTTGCCAACAGTCTGCAACAGAAAAGTAGGATAAGAATAAAATATAACCATCCTAAGTTTTTCTAATTCTTATAAATTTATTGTCATAAATACAGCAGCTGGTAAAGGAAACAACTTGGTAAATGCTTTCAAATGCAATGAAGTTTAAAAAAAAGTGTGTTTCTGAGGAATGTATCACTGAAATAGGAAAGAAGGAAGTTCCCTCTGTAAAGCTCAGTTAAGAACTCTGAATGGCTGAGCAACTCTGAATTTGGTACCAGAAATTACTGAACTCCCTTTAGGTACCAAATTCCGTTTCTGAAGAAATCAGGAAAGAATGGAGAAAAAGGGCAGGATGGGCAGAGAGAGCAATTCTGAATGAACTAAGGCTCCAGCTTCTGAATCACCTTCTGAGCAAAGCAGGCTGAAGCCTTATAATAAAAAGTATAAGGAAAATCTGGAAACAGGATAGAAGGTAGCCCTGCTTAGTTAAGAAACTTTATATTTTAAAAATAAGCTATACATTAAAAACACCTTTCTAGACAAGACTTGGTATTTGGCTATTTATTACAACTTATTACAGTGACTACACTTTGCAGCTGTACTACTTGGTAAAATGATATTATTTATTTCACAAGTAGCTTGATGTTTACAATTTAAACATTTGCCACTATAATTACAAAAAATGCAGGCAAAATTGAATAATTGCTTATATCAGATAACTGATAAATGCTGTGAGGCAATCTTCTTTAAGTGAAGTTTAAATCATGTTAGGTCAATGGTGACATTTTCCTATCAAAGGTAAGATTTCATCATCTTCCCCCAGTTCTTTTCTCCCTCTGCGTTTACTCCTGAGTATTTCAATCTTAAAAAAAAAAGCTCTTCAATGCTGTTGTGAATCTCAATTAGTCTGTAATTAAATTTCCTTGTATTATTTCTAGGCTAGGCCTTGGCAATAATAAAATCAAAGAAGTGGAAAATGGAAGTTTTGCCAACATCCCAAGTATACGTGAAATCCACCTGGAAAAAAACAAGCTGAAGAAAGTTCCTCCTGGATTACCTGAACTGAAATACCTGCAGGTCATACACTGAACTTATCAGTCAGCTCTGGGAGTTCTGAGCTGTTTGACTTTCCCACTGCCACGTTGATTAGGTCACAACCAAAAAGCACAGTTAACTGATACATATATTTTTCTAATGACTCTCCTACTAGGAGAGCCTGAAATCATAAAAGCTTAATAAAGAAATAAACAAAATCAAGCTGCAGGAACACTTCCTAGGAAAGGGAAAAAAAGGACAACAAAATGCTACACTGAAAAAATATTTCCAGAAAATGAGAATATAATACTGTATCATTATAATTCTTACTACAAGAGACTATAAAATTGCATTTTAGAATCAAGTCTCCTCAGAATAGAGTCCAATTATTCTAAAAACTCACTGACAAAATGCCATATGACTTTTCTTTGTGGGAGAGACTGGGGCAGGAGAAAGACTTTTTTTAAAGATTTAACACAAATTTTAAGCTCTTGTTACTCTCAGGGTCTGCATGGAACTGATGTTGTAGCAAACCTCAGTCACCTACACACTAAGGAATATTTTCCCCCCCATTTTCATTCCAACTCCTGTATTTTCTGTTCCTATTGCTGCAGGTCGTGTTCCTTCATTCCAACCATATTGCCAAACTGGGAGTGAATGATTTCTGTCCAACAGGACGAAGGAAGAAGAAAGCTCTGTACAGCGGCATCAGCCTCTTCAACAACCCTGTCAAGTACTGGGAGGTCCAGCCTTCAACCTTCCGCTGCATTTTAGCCAGGAACAGTGTTCAGCTTGGGAATTTCCTCAAGTGAGACCCAAGTTGGTTGTTTCAAAAAACAACTTGTCCAAATCAGTTTTACAATACTTGAAATTTGCAGGAAAATGCTGATTTTATGCTATTTAACCGTTTACAAAGTATTTGCTATTTCAGAGGTAATTAATTAGAAACAATATGTTAAGTAGGATCCATTGTATTATTTGACAATGTTCAACCTACATTTGAATAATTTAAACAAAAGTCTTTATATCTTACGGAAGGACTCTTAGAAGTGGAACTGGAAACTGTATTTGATGTTTCCTATTATAGATGTTAAATACCTTCCTTAAATCACACAGTTTGGACATATTCTTTCTTTCCAATAAATCCTAAAAATCACGTGGAAGTGACTTTATCCACAGTTAGGAAAAAGTGACCTAGCTTCTCTTCCAGAACATGTTGAGGGAAAAGTTGCAAAACCAAAAATTACCAGACTTGTGCCATTTTTGGTAATGAGCAAAGATGCAATGAAAAGCTACAATACTATCAGGTAGTTGTCTCTAAGCTAGAATGTATTCTTACAATCTTTTAAGTGAGATAAAGGCAAGTTTCATATCAAGAACAGACAAAAAGTCTTTTAAAGCTATTGGCAATTTTTCCTTGCAACCTTAACAGGAAAATGTCCTTCAGTATTTTGCTATTGACAGAATTGGATGCAGTCTGAATATTAAAAGTAGGATTCAAGATTTATCATATGCTTCAAGCTTAATAGGAATGACTATTAAACTCCCTTTAGGCCAGCACAAACATTTTTCTTTTACCTATAACAACTGTAATCGTGTTTTTCACTTTATTCTTTTCCTCTTTATATTTTGACATCACACGGGTTAAGGACACCTCCTTAATGAAAGTACCTTACAATTACAAAAAAAAAAAGCAGCTGGAACTCGCCTGCCCTGCCCTTCCTGTGCAGGGCAGCACACAGAACTCTCAATACTGACAGTACTGTATAAAATGGATATTTTTAGATATCTATTTAGTGTATATTTGCTATCGGGATTCAAAATAAATTAAATAAACGTACAGAATACCTGCATGTGTATACTTCATTATATGATAGCTCATGTCAAAATGTTCTGAGGTTATAACCCAGCACCTTTGTGACTCTTCCCTAGACACTCCCTCTAGTGCTCCTTTTTCCAAATCTACAGAGCTTACAGGTCATTTATCACCGCTGGTTTGTACAAAGTTAAAAATCCAATACTTTGGGAGATGGCACAGACTCGTAGAAGAAAATACTACAAAGAGCTCAAACAATCCCAGTCTCTCAGCCTTCCTAAGTACCCTGTGCAATAAGCATCCAGTCTAATATCTGAGTGCTTTTCATCTGCTTGATCTCCTGGCAGTTAATAATTTGTTACTCTGCTGCCAAGACACAAACCTATGTGAAGCGAGGAGGCAGAGCAGAACCAGGGGAGGCTTTTAATGAAGAACAGTATTTGCAAATAGAAATTCTGTAACACACTTCAAAGCAGAATAAAAACAAAAGACTAAACAGAACACAAAACCTGAAATCTGTTGATGACCAAGCATCTTTCTATTCCTGGCCCCTCGAGATGCTTCTAAGGAGTGTATTTCCTAGGAAATACCAACACTCCCTTAAGGACAGACTCCCCTGCCTTACAGTACCATAAACAACTCATAACCCTATGCAATGTTAGTAAATACAATAGATAACAGAAAAAACATTACAGTTGATTTACATGCATTCATAAACATTCCTGCTATATTAGTTATATCATTTCAGAAATGTCAACAAAAGCAGAACAGCTGATTCTAATTCTGTAGCTTAACTGAAAGAACAAACTCACAATGTTGTGTAGTACATTATTCTACATTAATTCACTGCTAAGGTTTAAAAGGAAACACAACAGAGAATGCAAACAATTCCTTACCTAATTGGGGTTAATGCAATGGAAAACAGGAACTGCATCCTCGTGCTCTCTAATTCTTTACAGGTACTTGCCTTTCACCAAATTTTAAGTCTGCTATTGAATTCCCACTATAATGAGAAAGCTTTGTAAAAATAAAGAAATAGAAGACCATATAGTCTTGATCTTATCCTTCCAGAGCCTTAAAAACCCTTTTGCCTTCTCACTCTTTCCTCTGGCCGTGCACCCAGACTGAGAAACTCGTTCTCCAGTCAGCACCCATGGATACATAAAACATTCACAGAAGAAATTGCAGCACTACTTTTAAAGAAACTACCTCTACCCTCACTCTTAATAAGTAATCTCCAAATGATTTTATCAATTACTTAAGTTTGCACTCATTTCCACTCCCCTTCATCCACCAGGTGTCCTCCTATTGCCTGACAGTGGGAGGTTTGGGAGTCCTCTGGCTCCTGGTGGCCCTCCCTCAAGGATGGAAGGGCAGAACTCCACCAACCTATTTCCCTTTCACTTGCCCTAATACTTCTTAGTCTGTCAACTTGCTCCCTAAGCTCAGCCACTAGTGAAAGGAGATAATTCAGCTGTTCACACTGCAGGCAGGCTTCACCTGCAATGCCCTTGGAGCCACTGCTGAACTCAAACACTCTGCACAGAAATGGGTCTGCACAGACACATCCTTTTAGGATGGTTCTACTATTACTAACTGCAGTTTTTGACTGTGGAAAAAAAACATTACTAACAAAACCACAAAAACGAATCAGTCAACAGAGACAACAGATAAAGAACCGTACTAGCAGGAGGAAACCTGCAGCCCTGCCCGTGTGAACTGCTGTGCCCCTGTTTGCCTGCTCGGGTCACTGCACTCCCCAGAGCCCTCTGGTAATCACCCTGCCCTGTGCCTGCATGGCTAATGAGAGCTCAATGCTCAGTGACCCTCTGCTATTTTCAGATATCATACTTCAGCTGGCATTTGTGGTAATAAAACTAATAATTTCCACACCTTGTGTCTTTAGCATGCTTTCACAAAGACCCAGGCGGATGTGTCAGTGGCACACAAACATTATGATATAAAATGCACTTTATGCAATTTCAACAATGGTTTCTGAACATGGACAGTAATGCAATTAACAGAATAATAATTAACTGATGATAACACACTGGCATTCATTGATCTTCCCACAGAACAAGGCATTTCAGTATCAGCAGATGGGAAGAAAATCTGTCAAGAAATCAACTCCACCTTTACATTCTCTGCAAATGTTACAAGAAAAGCAAAGAGGGAGAAAGAGAAACTTGATATAAATCTTTTGAAGAGTCTTCTCATTACTTATTCCTTGTACAAGTATCTACATTTGCCTAATAAAAAAAATTAATATTTATTCCATCTAAGATTTTCAAACTTTAAAGGGCTTCTCTCTTCTGAAAATCTGCCAGGTCCTTACACAACAGTTAACAAATTGTACCAGAGGGTGGCAGCCTGTTGCTACAAATAGAAGGAAAAATCACTCTAAAGAATAAATGATAAAGACTGTTAGAGCACAGGAAGAGCCCAGTAAAAGTCACAAACACTGATTAAGCAGAAAGGCCTGTTGGAGTACTAAAGTACTCTAAGTGCTGCTAAACCCTGCGTTCTGTATCCTGTTCTACACCATTAAATCACCAAAGGATGGAATACTTTCATTTTTTCCAAGTCTTCTCCCCACCTCTTTTCCCAATATCAAGCTACCTAATGCAGTACTTCAAACATAGCAATACAAAGAATATTGCAGCATTAGTAGACACAGAGCAGCAAACTTTATAAGATACAAAAAGTTTAAAGAATATAAGAAACTACTAAATCATTATTTTAACTTTTCCCATCAGCTGTGGTAAACATACACAATGTAAATCAAAACATACCTTCAATAAAACACATTTTCTTTCATATGACCTGGGTGCTTTCTGCTGCTAGACTGAGTTAAAGTAGGTGAAGAAGTGTTTATTTTATTTCCTTTTTCCAGTACTAATAGTTCATTCTGCTCTGCCCAGAATGAAACCTGCAGGAATTCAGTCTATCAGACAAACTGGCTAGAGGTGTCAGGAAGGAGAAGAGGACAGCTGGACAAAGAAAAAGCACAGCTATTTGGATCTCACTGCCTGATCTTAAGAACAAAGAGTTGCAAATTCCTAAAAGCACAATGAAGCTTGGGCTGGATGAGCAGCCAGTGGACTGAAAATGGGCTGGAAAGCAGCAAGCACAGAGAGGCCATGTAGTGAACTCCAGCTGGAGGCCAGGAACTGCCACTGTACCCCAGGGATCAGTGCTGGCTCCTGCCTGTTCCCATCTCCATTATTGACATTATTGACAGGGCAGATCACCCTCAAGTTCCCTGCTGACAGATATGTGACTCTCGATGGCCAACAGGAGCTCAGTTCAGCTGAGGGAAGCCCAAAATCTTTTACCTGGTGAGGGATAACCCCATGCACTGGTGGCTGACTGGAAAGCAGATTTGCAGGAAAGGATCTCTGGGTCCTGGTGGGCAAAGTGAACGTGAGCCAGCAATGTGTCCTTGTGGAAGGATGGCTCAGAGTACCCTGGGCTGCTTTAAAGGGATAAGGACAACTCTTCATTCCCAGTGTTGTTGTCACTAAGTTATTCCAAGAGCTAAGAAGCTCCAGAAGCTTGGATTCCTATGGATTTGAGTTGTGCAAGCCTCAGGTCCTTCCAGCTGCTCTTTTCCTCACACTACAGCACCTCTGTGCTGCCAAAGGCCAGAGCCAGCCGTGTGCCAAGGGCTCACTCACAGCTCTGCCCTCTCCTGCCTTCCAGCTGCTACTAAGCAGGATTTGGAACTGTCCCTTCCCCAGCTGAAGGACCTCTCTGGAGCACTTTCCTCTGCCCAGCTGCTCTTTTTCACAAGTTAATAACAAACATTTCTCTCTATCCTGTGTCAAAATTGGTTATAATTGGTAATAAGGATTAAAAGATACCTAGTGAAATAAGTGACAAAGATAAAAGGTTCTTTTTTAATAAACATTTAGAAGGGAAAGTTTGGCTATTTTAAACATAATGAAAATTTCCAAAATGTTTCATGAGAATCCCAGTAGGAATTCCTGTACCTGCATTTCCCAAAAGTGAGTGAAATGACTCAGACCAGAGCAGTTGAAAAATATAAACTAAGATGTGCAAATTTTTAACCCTTCATATCTATTTACTAAAGCAGCAAAATATCTCACCTACCTAAACCAGGCTGTGCATAGAAAATCTGATACGAGTTCACTGTTAAGCAACTTTAGAATAATTTAATGTAAATTCAAAAAGCATTTACCCATGTCCTAAAAAGCAATTGCTGTTATCTCTTGAAGATACTCATTCCATATTCATTCAATTGCCAGTTAAAATATTGCACTGTTTATCCAGAAAAACTATGGTACACTACAACTGACAAAATAAACATTAATATTTTCATTTCATTTCATTTTGATGAGAATTTAACAGCAGCATGATAATAAAAGCAGTACTAAACTAAAAATAATGAAATTGTGTTCTAAAGGCTATTTTTTTTCCTCAGTCTCTATGCTTAGAATTTAACATTGCTTCTTGGGCTTGTGTTGGAACTTTTTCCCTCCTTTCTGGGGAGACTAGAGATTTGAGAACAAAGCTGCTAATAGGAAACATATGGAAAAGTTCTGGAGTAAATGAAAATCTGACTCGAATTCCAAATGCCACGTATCACATACCATGGTCTAAATTATCTGCTAAGATAAATGCAAGATTTACCCTCCATACTCAATGAATCACATGAGATGGAAGACAAGGTTATGTATGAAATAAACAAAAACAAAGACTTGCATGATATTTAAGAGACTTCCAAATCTAATCAATATTTTGAAGCAAGTTGGGATGTTTTTCAAAGCCCATGTGAGCCAGTAAAAGACTGGCTCAATGGAACATGCTGCCAACAGCCAGCCTTGCTGCAGTTTTTTGTATAAAATATGAACATTCCTACCCAAGTGAACAGTCAGGCTCTGGATTTAACCACTGTGCTGCTGTGGTTGCAGTGGGAACCCCACACAGCCAGGTTTTCCTATGCATCAACACTTTCCTGTCTCAAATCCCTGTCCAGAGGAAATGTGACCACGATGAGA